ACTGACTATGATCCAGAAAACACAGCACATAACTGACTATGATCCAGGAAACACAGCACATAACTGACTATAAAGTGCCGAAGACGCTCAGGAGGCTGTGGGCAGCAACCAGGCAGGCATGAGGAACACTAAGTGGGGTGAGGTCAGTCTCCTGACAACCAAGAAAGACCATTTCAGAGAACAGACCGAGGGGTCAATGCGCCCAGTGCCACAGATTACCAGACACCTCAGAACCTGGCAGTCCCATGGAGACCCTGGTGAGTCAATCCGTGATTTTGGGACACAAAAAGCTACATGAAGAAGCTACAAGGAGCAGGGGATTAGAGACCAACAGTGTGGCGGAATGGGGAAGCCTGCTACCACAGAAGGCAAAGCAGCAGCCAGAGTAGACATTCCAAGCAAAGGTGCTAATAGGGGCTGAGCAGCGGCCCTGAAGAAATGCACAGCAGGGAAGCCTGGAGCCGTGCAAGTGAGTGAGCTCCTTGGGAAAGCAGGAAACCTGCCCGGTCCCAGAGCTCAGTGGTGGGCAGTCCTGGTCAAGTTCCTTCCTCCCCCCTACAAGCTTTCTCCATTCATTACACACACACACACCATCCTAGATGCTGCAGACACAAAGTGGACAAAACCCTGCTCTACAGAGCTCACATTTTAGTGGGGGTGATGGACCACTAACAACTAAGAAGAGTATGTACACTGTCACATGCCAAGAAGTAGTCAAGCAAAAACAAAACAAGGAAAGCGCTTGAAGAAGGGGAGGCAGTTTTAGGAAGGAGGATCCAAGAAGGCCTCATGGCCTGCGTCCACGTGAAGGCAGAGGAGTAAGCCAGGTGGGTAACAGGGCTGGGAGGAGGGGAAGTTCCAGGTGACACTAAGAGGAAAACCAGAGGGCTGGGGTCAGGAATGTGGTGTGGCCAGCTGGGGCAGTGTGCTGAGGGAATGTGACAGTGGGCCAGGTCCATGAGGGCAGATGGATCAGGGCTGGTCCTCCGAGGCTGCTGCCAGGACGTTGGCTTTTAGTGAGAGAGATGGGCCACAGGAAAGGAAGGCCCACGCAGTGGCATCAGCTGATTCCAGAATAGCGGTGGCAACCAACCCTCAGCCAGGCCCTGTTCTAAGCACTTTGAAGCATTTTAACTCACCCAGTTCTCACATAGCACTATGAAAGAAAGGTTCACTCATGTGCTCAAGGTCACACAGCTAGGAAGTGATGGAACTGCTTTACAAGCAGGCAAGCTGGCTTGCATCTACACCACCTCTGTTTTATACCATCTTATGGTTTAAAAGAATCACTCTGGGCCGGGTGTGGTGGCTCACGCCTGTAATCCCAGCACTTTGGGAGGCCGAGGCAGGTGGATCACAAGGTCAGGAGATCAAGACCATCCTGGCTAACATGCTGAACCCCGTCTCTACTAAAAAAACAAAAAATTAGCCGGGCATGGTGGTGGGTGCCTATAGTCCCAGCTACTCAGGAGGCTGAGGCAGGAGAATGGCATGAACCTAGGAGGCGGAGATTGCAGTGAGCGGAGATTGCGCCACTGCACTCCAGCCTGGGCAACAAAGTGAGATTTCATCTCAAAAAAAAAAAAAAAAAAAAAAAAAAAGTCACTCTGTGTCCAGGCATAGTGGCTCACGCCTGTAATCCCAGAGCTTTGGGAGGCTGAGGCAGGCAGATCATTTGAGGTCAGGAGTTTGAGACCAGCCTGGCCAACATGGTGAAACCCCGTCTCTACTAAAAATAAAAAAATCAGCTGGGCGTGGTGGTTGTGGAAGCCTGCAGTCCCAGCTACTTGGGAGGCTGAGGCAGGAGAATCACTTGAACTCAGGAGGCAGAAGTTGCGTGAGCTGAGATCGCACCACTGCACTCCAGTCTGGGCGACAGGGCAAGATTCTGTCTTTAAAAAAAAAAAAAAAAAAAAAGAAGAGGAAGAAGAATCACTCTGTGTCCAGAAAAACTATAGGTGGTGGATGGGGAGTGAGGACCAAAGGTGACAGTAAAGAGAATTAGAGGTTCACCAGGTAGGCTGGGCCAGGATGTTAACCTGGAGGTGGTGGAAAACGGTCTGTGCTTAGAAATAGAAGGTGAGTTGACAGGGCCTCCTGTCAACTGCATGAAGTTGTAAGAAAAAGAGGAATCAAAGGGACTTTGGACAGGCCAAGGAATGTTTTGGCATGGGTGAAGATTTGAGTTTGGCGCCAGAGTAACACATGGAGATATAGAAGAGGTGGCCAGAAACACCAGGCTGGAGCCTAGAAGGGAGGCCAGGGCTGGAGCTGTTAAGATGTCAAGGAAAGTTGGCATTAAAGCCAGGAGGCTGGATGACATCACAAAGGAGGGGGCTACAACAAGAGAGTCTAAGACTGGGCAAGCCAGCCAGAAAGCACATTTCCTACCCCAAGGTCGTGGTGAGACTACAAAACAGACTCTGGGAAGTGCTCCACACAGTGCCTGGCCGCAAAGGGCTCAAAGGGGAGCTCTCCGCCCACAGGCCTCCCCACTGCTCCAGCTGACCAAACACCGGATGCAAACCCTGCCTTGCCAACAGGACCATCAGAGAGGAATGGGCTCACCGCAAGCTCCCCTGGACCCCTGGCACGGGGAGAAAACCCATACACTTGGACAGCACCCTTCTTCCTAGTCCACTTGCTGTGCTGGCTAACCGAGGCACTGGCCGCGACGGGCCAGCACCAGTGCCAGCGCCATGGATGCTGCTTTTTGGTCAAGTCTCTCCCGCTGCAGCCTCCCGCCCAACCCAGCGGCAGTATGACCTCATCCGTTCCTTTTGTCATCCTCCAACAGGCCTCACATCCCGCACTTAGAGGCAACACTGGGTACCCCGCGCTGGCCATTCACTCCCTTTTGTGAGTGAAGGCCTGCAGAACGGTTTGGGCCACACCCACAGCCGGGAGTCTAGTCTGGCCAGGAAATAGTGGATCCTCGTCTGGTGGTTGGCCTCGAACAGTCGACAGCCATAGACGGGACTGCCGTGCAGGAACAAGGTACATGCAAGCATGCAAAAAGGCAAATCAGACTCCTGCCACAAGAAAGCCAAGTCCATCGGTTGACACCAGACAGGCATCACTGTCAACAGGTTGCCACCTTCCATTTATTTCTGCCATGCTCATTGTTACAATAAAACCGTATCCCAATTATCTACGTGACACTCAACCCGTGAGCATTTGGTGGACAAAAAGACTTAGGCGACTTCTTGGATTTCCCAAACTGTGTTCACGCCAGCAGGGTCCCAGGCGAGCACTGTCCCTGTCCACACCTTTCCCGCCTGAAGGCGATGCCAGGCTTCGGGCCCGCGGGGAGAGGAGCCTCTTTACCCCGGCGGACAGCGACGAGAATCGGCAACGCCTGGGCCCGGGGCCAGTCCCCCAGCCCCGGAGGGGTCCCCACCCCGCGCTCTCCACCGCCCGCGGCCATGTTGCCTCACAAAGGCCGGGCTCCGTGCCCCGGCCCCGCCCCGCCCGCGGCCTCGGTCCCGGAGGGAGGCGGGAGGGAAGGGCGCGCCCTCGCGCAGGCCGCAGCGCCCGCCCGCCCGCCCGCGGGGCGCCCCTCGCGCCCCGCACCTACCTGAGGCGCCCGCGGGCTGCCCGAGCCGCCCGCAGCCAGACCACAGCCGGGAGAGCCTCACCGACCGACCGCCGCAGCCATCTGGAAAGCCTGTCCAGGCCCTCCGGTTGCCGGGACCAGCCTGCCGCGCCGGGCGAGCGGAGGGCGGACCTTCGCGGCGCGCGGCCAATCCCCGCACGCGGCCGCCCCGCATTGGAGGAGCCGCGGAGCGGGCTGCGGAGGCCGCCAATCGGTGGCGCATAGCGCGCGCGTCCGCGGCGCGCGGCCCAATAGCGCGGCCGCGCGGGCGGGACCAGACCCCCAGGCCGCGGTCGCGCTAACAGTCGCTGCCCGGGCGGGGCTCGCCGGACGGAGGGCGGCGGCCGCGAGGAGCGACGGGAACGGGAAATGCCGGGAATGCCGGGAGCGGGGGAGCGCGGGAAGCGCGGGGAGCGCCGGGAATGCCGGGAACAGGGAGCGCGGGGTAAGCCGGGAGCGGACGCGCAGACGGGCCACCTTCAGTGGAGACTGCAGAAGAGACCGTGCACACAAAGGCGTTACACAACCCGGTTAAAAGCATCACTGTATCAGACGTCATCATTTACAAAGAACGCGTATGCTCAACTGTCTGGAGCTTTTCTATTTGCTAATACTATAACAGGAGATCCAAAACAGGGAGGGTTAGGCCGGACACGGTGGCTTGCGCCTGTAATCCCAGAGCTTTGGGAGGTCAAGGCAGGAGGATTACTTGAGCCCAGGAGTTCAAGACCAGCCAGGCCAACATTGTGAGACCCCAGTATCTACTTTTTTTTTTTTTTTTTTGAGATGGAGTCTCGCTTTGTCGCCCAGGCTGGGGTGCAGTGGCGCGATCTCAGCTCATTGCAACTTCTGCCTCCCGGGTTCAAGTGGTTATCCTGGCTCACCCACCCGAGTAACTGGGATTACAGGCGCCACCAGCACGCCTGGCTAATTTTTATGTTTTTGGTAGAGACGGGGTTTCACCATGTTGGCCAGGCTGGTATCAAACTCCTGGGCTCAATTGATCTGCCTGCCTCGGCCTCCCAAAGTGCTGGGATTACAGGCGTTAGCCACTGCGCCTGGCTCAAAAATTTTTTTTAATTAGCTGCCTGGTGGCGGGTGCCTGTGGTCCGAGCTGCTCGGGAGGCTGAGGTGGAAGGATCGCCTGAGTCCAGGAGTTCCAGGCTGCAGTGATCCGAGATAGCACCACTTTCACTCCAGCCTGGGCGACAGAGTGAGATTCCGTCTCAAAAAAAAAAAAAGGAAAAGGAGGATATGAGTAAGTGAGGGTACAGCTCTTCCTTAGACTAACTTTCCTGTCAAATGTGGAAGGAATAGTGGTAATAGAAAAATTTCCCATTAGGTAGCCACCCCAATAATAGCTGCTGCAGATGAAAATCTTGAGTGAT